GTTTGTTTCGTGAAATAATACTCGAGGTACGCTGAGAAACGGATGATATGCACCGCAAAACATAGGGAAAAACAATCAATCGGGTTTTTCAGCACACGCATCGTTCGCATGTGTCACGGTTGCCCATAGAGAGGACCCTGACAGTGTTTCAATCGATTAGGTGTGCCCGAAAGGGGGACCGCGAGCAAGGGGGAAACGTATGCGAAACGCAAAGCCGTATAAATTTAAATGGCACCGGTCCAAACGAAGCACCTCCCCTTCGAAACGAAACGAAGACGCAAAACGTAAAACTCGCAATCGTAGTCGCGGGATGAACGGGCCCGAACGATTGATAATTAAATGGGAACTGGAAAACAATTCACCGGGAGATAACGAACACGTAATATCGTTTTATACGTTCCCAGCGGAAAGCGTTTTAAGTTCGTGCGAAAGTACATTAACCTAAACAACGCGAACGTTCTCTCGGTAACTCCGCGCTTTGCTTGCGCACGTGCGAAAGCGAGACGGAGCGGCCGCGGGTAAGAGTAAGACGGAGGGAAAAGGACAGAAATCCGGGGCGTTTCGCTAAATAGAATTCGAGGACGTAAACAATGAAAGAACGGTTGGAGATGCGAAACACGGTGCAAGGACTCGGCGCGGACCAGAGACAGACAGGATTTTCTTTGAATAATAGAGGACGAATGAAAACTTCTTGCAGCGATTTGTTCGCATCAACTAATAATGACAATAGAACGTCTTTGGTTCGGTCGTATGTATCGAGAAATTCGGTATTCCGTGAAGAAGAAGGGAAATATATGTATAGAAGAAACGAGTAAGTACGTTTCGCGTTGTTGTTAACCAAACCTTGACAAAAATTGTGTAATTAAATTTTGTACGGTATATTTTACGATAAGGTGGTCGAAATTGTAATGGTTGGTTTAAGACTAGTACATCACGAACACGTGGCTGGAAATCTGCCACCATCTTTTCATCGTTAAGGTACAAGGCAACGCTAATGGATTCGTTGTTATGTTACAAGGTTAAGCGAGTTCGAAGACCCGATTGGCTGAATAACTATCAAAGACACCTCCATACGACCGCGTTCGCAGTAATATTCTACTCACGATTCTGACAGCCACTCAACAAACGGGTTTAATGATAAATTACGATTTCAAAATACGCGCAGTACAGCTTATTCGTAGAACAAAAAGCGAGAATAGAGAAACAAACATTAGATAACCAAATGATCGTCGATAAATAAAAACGACGTTGATTGTACGTTTCCCTATTTCTTTTTACAAAAATAACGATCGTCAAGTCCGAGTTTAATACAGCCAAGACGAATATTCTAGAACGAACCATTTTCGATCTACCATCTAACGGGAGCTGTTTGAAGCAAAATTTCCTCGATCAGCGAAGATGTAAACAAACTGAAAACGATGCATCCATCTTCGTGGCGTTGATGTTACGCGAAAAAAAACGAATAAATATTTAACCCAACAGTTGCGTTCGTGTTTCTATTTTAGGTAAACGAAGTAAACAGTCATGAAAAATCAAGGTGAAGACCAAACGTATTACCTTGAATTTACAAGTATAATGGAAAAGAAAAAAAAAGAAAGAGTGCAATATATAATTATGCAGAACTGCAACTCGACAGCAGATACTAGTAAATTTACTCATTGCGAAGGACAAACATGACATTCGATACGAGATTGTTCCAAGTTCGACGGATGACATCAAAGATAAGACTTTGTGACAGATCACCAAGGGTACCCGTAATTTATCACGGAAGATTTTACTCCATTTGCATACGCCAAAAACAAAAGAACTCCTGTTACAATTTCTCGTAAAACAGACAAAATAAAACGCGCGCCGAAAGAATAACAGAGATTTGCATGAAAGACGTATGATGTATAATAAGAAACTTGTAAATCCAAACGTTATTCGAATACATAAAACGAATGCATCGATTGCTTTAATTTAAATAAACACGAAGGATTTCGTTGGCGAGTAAAAACTGTCGAAACATAACCTACATATGTCGCGCTTTCCGACTCGTGTCATCGGTCGAGAATGGAGAGCGCAAAAGTTTCAACGACCCGTCAAAACCGAAAGAAAATAAAGTACCGTGTCAACCTCTAGAAAATAAAATCCTCCCTCAGATGGTTTCACGGTACACAAATGTCATTTTTTAAAAAGTGAAAAGGAGGAGGTTACTCGATTCGACATGTATATATATATATATATTTTTTTTTTTAAGAATTGCATTCGCACGACCAACGTCAATGATCTCTACGAGCGTCGAGTCCCTCTCGCACTTCGTAAACATGGAGGTTTCTGTTGTAGCGTAAAAATGTTGGAAACATAACCTGCAAAAGTATCGCGTCGACAGCTAAAATGAAATATACGAACAAAGGTTTTAAGACGTAATCGGTACTATTTCATTCGGTCGTTTGTTTCGTCACGCGTACTTAGATACACTCCGTCGCGCCTATGTTTGTATTCATTTCCATCGAGATTACCTCGAAAAAGGCAAAAATCCACGAAAATAAAATTTCCAAGTAAATCTCGATCTCGACTCGCATCGCTCGATACGACCGATCGTTAACCACGGATTATTGTTTTTTTTACCCTTAAGAAAACTGGTATTAAAAATAAATACCATGTCGGCCCCCAAATCCTTCATGTCGCAGTAAAGGAAAAGATCCCCCGGTGGTTTCATCCAGTCGCCTGTGCTCGTGCTCGGTCCCTGGCCGTACCCTACACCGAAACTCTCCACCGTCTCCAAGGTACCCTCGGCACGGCGCGTCACCTCCGAGAGATTCACCGTTAACCCCGTGGTACACCGACAACGCGAACGAGAAATTCGACACACACTCTTTTTCACGCACTATCCGTCGGACGAGGCTATCTTGGAGCCGATTCGTAGAATCCCGAGGACCCTGCGTCGCAGGGAAACGAGACTTGGATCGTACGGTGAACCGCGGCGTCGGGGCGCTGGGTACCGATTCAGCCGGCACTGAATATAATACACACCACTCCCGGTTGTTTTCACGTTCGTTTTTCCTCTCCGATATACGGAGGACGGACGGACAGACCTCTCGCGAACAGAGAACACAACACCGCCGCTGAACGATACGGAATCGCGGCACTACGGACGACAGTGCGAGTGAGAGAGAGAAAGAAAAGCGTTCGGCCGCCTGTCAAACAGTTCGACACCTCCGGGTGCCTCGATGCTGCCCACCGCTACCTATGCTCCTCTCTTCTTCCTCGTCCTTCTCCTCCGCCGCCACCGCCGCCGCCGCTACCACCTCCTTTCTCCTCTCGCGCACTTTGCACACTCACTCCGCGAATTCGCGTTTATTTACCAGGGGGAAGGCGAGTCGATTACCGCGTTTTTCTTTCTAAATACACGTCCGTCCTGGCATATCGCGGGACGCGTCGTTATCAAGCGTTAAAATAACGCTCGGCGTCGTCACGGTGTTCTTTACTTGTCTCGTCTCCTCGATTTTTCGTTAACCGGCCTCTCTCTTCGACAGAGACTGCCCTCCTAACCGAAACAAAGAACGACGCTTGACTGGTGCGCCATCTGTCGAAGGCTCTGCCAATCACGGTTCGCCTCGCGAACACCCTCGACCAATCACCGCTCCCCTAGCCTCTACCTTCTACGTTTCTACGACCTCTCACGGCGACCGGATGAAAATTTGATCGCGCTTGATTCTGTACCTGACCTGCCCACTTTCGACATTACGCTAATTTTGTATACTTTCCTTTAACCCAGAATTATATTATTGAAAATGGAAGACCGAAGGGTTACTTCTTCTTTTAATTTATGGGTATTAATAAATTTAGGTGATAATCTCATCCCGCCTAATTGTCCAATGAAAATTCCTGATCCAATGAAAAATCTAAGCACCTTTGACGTAACGTTATTTCGAATGTAATTTCGTGTAAAGCGATATTTCGTTTGGCTCAAAACGAGATTATTGTAAAATTAAATTTGAAAAATTTGAAATTGTACACATAAATAAATTTGTAAGGGTAGCTACTCATCTAATGCTTCCGTTTTTCTTTTTCAAATTTTCAACATGTCTGACTTCCCAGTGGAAGGGTTACTTTTCTACGTTCCCCTATATTCATGCTCCAATAATAGGCAAATATTTATTTGAATAACAGATAAGACACAAAACTAACAATAGCTAACTAATAGCAATTTATTGGCGTTCTTTATTCAATGAAATAGTTAAATCTCTACTCGTTAATTTTTATTCAACGAGTTGTTTGGAATTTCTATCTAAATCAGAATTTTGCCCATTTCTTCCTAATGCGACTCTGAACTACTGTATATTTTTGTTTCGTCTATTACGACGATGAAGAGCTAACGTTAAGAGTAAACGAAGCATATCCGAAATGTGCAAAGAATCGAAACATTTCGGGCAAAAATTGTTATCTCGATGACCTTTCGTAGCAACGAAGGCCACCGTCTTAAAACGTGCTAGAAACGTTTGTAATTTGCTATTCCACCGAATTCTGTCCCTGACACAGTTTCCACGAGGAACCAACACATCGACTGAACTTTCTAACTGACCGATTGTCAGGTATTACCGTCAGTGTCAATGACATATCCTAATTCGAACGAGAATTAATGTTAACGTAACAGTCAACACTAACGCGGATGACCAAGTATTAAAACAAAACGTTCTATTTTTAAATTGAAACAAAAATACGCTATAGAGATGGTTATCCTCGTACTTTGTTATGGGTGTCACTTCTGATACGTGAGAATTTAAATATGTAACTGAACGTGCGGTAACATGTTCGAGATAAAAAAAAATATCCCTAGTAGTCGTCAATATTTTTGTAGTTCTATTTTGGCCCACATGTTCTGACTCATCTGTCTCGAATTAATACCGAATGTATTTAAAATATTAAAAGTTGCCGAGCATACGAGCAACAACAATAGAAACTCAGTTCATATCGCTAAATATTACTCAAATACTGAACATAACAATTACTCTTACCTGTCCATTCCTAAACTGTTGTTGCTGTTGTTGTTGTTGCTGATGGTGAAAAAGGGCAACTTGTTGCTGAGCTGTCATCTGATTATTTAGATAAACTAAATGTTCTGCTCCAGGTCCACCGCTCTACATAAACATAATAAAATGAAACTGTTAATACTGAGATAATACAGAATAATTTTACAGATAACTATGATCGTATTAATAGTACAAACAAATTATTTTAAATTGATAAATAACTATCTGTTTCCATCATAACTATATTTCGTCATAATTAAGTAAACTTCATTTGTTAGTACCGCATATTTGGAATGTATTACTCACTTTTAGTTGCATAGGATGTATCTCATAGGGAAGATGAACATTGTTCATAGTTTGCAATCCCAATTGTTGAGGTTGATTCTGCTGTGGTACACTCAGTTTGGTAATGGGATATTTCCATTTCTCTGGATTCTAGAAATCATAAAGAAGCACGCATATTATTAAATCATCCATTGCAGTATCGATACAAAGCCATCTTTCAATTTCCAATTTCCAATTTTATGTTATCGATATACTTACATTATCGATTATAGCATCGTCTGCAAGAGCCCACGCACGCGGGGCTTGTTTTGTTTGAAAACTCGAAGATTGGGCATTAAATTCTGGTTCTGTGGGTCGTTGGAACACGTAACCCACCATTGCATCATCTTGCGTTCTGCTTACACCTATTTGATGCGTTTGACCGGGTTGTATACGCATACTATCACCACCAGCCATTACTTGTCCGCATTGCTCTCCATCCTATTGATAAAAGAAACAAGAAGTTTGTCTTTGTTACTGACAACGTATGTTGCTTTGTGGAATTAGAACAATAACAACTGTTCCGAAATGATTAATACGTAAATGCTATTGCCCTCGATCTATTTAAAATATTCTATCATTATACTGTAGCACGACTTGATTCATCACGGTACTGAATCTTATCAATATGTACAGAATCTATCTACTATTGTTTTACTTATTCTTTGTAAAAAAAAAAAATAATGGAATTAATTGTTTGGAACATTGAAATATATACATATATATAGTCTTTTGCTTTCAACATGTACAAGGAAACCATCAAGGTAAAAACATTACTCTAATTTCACTGTGATAAGGAATTCAACAAATACAACCAAAACATCACAGTTTCTACACAATACTCTGCCATGATGGATCAAACAAAGCACAAGCATATGCAATACCCATGCATATACAGAATAGAAAAGTTCCTTTCCCATGTTTCAGCAACGTAAACGAACACTTCTACGTTCCACGTCGGAATATCAAACGAAACGTATTACGATCGGATAGAACACGATACGATAAAAAAATTCCAAAATTGACGTTCCGTGAAACGAGAAACCTTGCTCCGAAACACGTGAGATAGGTTATGATATTTCGATCGCGCGTAAAATCGTTAGGAACGTAACGAGTTCCCGGTCGAACTCGTATCGATCTAAGCAGAGAAATGAAAAGTAACGAAATAGATGCGTACCGCGGGTATATGTCCGTTCGCAGAAGGATGGTGTAACTGCACAGAAGGTGCCGGTTCACCCGCAGCACCAGCGCTACTCGCACCGAGCCACTTCATCGTTCTGTCAATCTGTACCGCTGCCACGGGCACCGATGATCGACGATCCGACAGATAAGAGGAACCCCCGACGCGAAGGTTAGCTCGCTCAGAACCGGCGTCCGGAGCCAAAGGTAGAATCGCCCCAGCTACGTCTGTACCACGAACATGCTCCGAAACGTGCGACTCTCAATCAGTGCGGCATCTTCCGTTGTTTCCACGACGACGATGCTGACGACGAACACGACGGCAACGAGGTAGACGGATCACCACCGTGAATAACGATATTTATTACGATGCCGCGACCAAGAACGCCAGACAGTGTACAGCAATGGCAGCTGGCCGCGAGCGGTGCTGCCGGATTTTTGACAACACTGTCGGACGACACGAAAAACGTAACTGCGAACACAAAGAGAATCGTCCAACGAACGCGACTCGCTTCGAGTCGGAGCCTCTCGAATTTTACCAATCGGCACAACTGCTGCTCTGCCGACGAACGAACGAAACTGGGGGGATGTCGATGGACGTGGAAAAAAAAAAAGGAATGAAACATACAAAAAACGACGAGTGCTTGTTCACCGACGGAAAGGAAATTAGGGGTAGGACAAGCAAAGGGGGGAAAGGAATATCGAGAGATACGCGAAATTCGTATGCGCCGTGTCGTTCGAGAACGCCAATCGTTGGGAATGTCCCGAAACACGACGGGGTACAATTAATGGTGGTTACGTCTTTCGACACACGGGTACGAGTTTTACCTCACCGCGGTGACTGCTGCGCCGACCAGTCATACGATATCGTGACCGTTCGATTCGGTGTTATTCGTACTCCTCGCGATTACCACGAACGACTCGGTTTTTCACGCACTCATCTCGTAAAACTAATGCTTAAAATACACTATTCACAGGTATCTACAACGAAGTACAGGCACACAATGTGCGTCCACCCGGCATACGCGTGTTTCGCGCGCAAGGATGCTGCGCGATTTTCAGAAGGGGTCTAGGGGATGGGGAGAGGAGGCGGGTAAAGAAAGAACCAACCCGCGTTTAGAAATACCGCGACACAATGCAGAGCCAATACGTTATTTCTGTCAATTCATGCTCGTCCTGTACGTGATTTCTCGTTTTAATGTCTACGTTCACCTCGATAAGCGATCCGTCGATACCACTGTTATGTTTTAACAAAAATTCGTAGACTTTGCCCGGCGTTAATCGTCCGTTCACAATTCGCACAACGCTGTCCACGATGTGTCAAGATTCTAGGTTATAAGACAGAATTGCACACGAAACGAATAGATAGCGGTGTTACATGTTAAAATCAAACGTGCCATTTTTACCGCCATCTAATATAAAAGTCACGTTCTGAAATTAGTTAGCCGCGGGTTATCGTCGTTTCTGCAAATATTAATGAAATCGTTTACTTTGCTAAATATTTTACATAGATGTATATACACACGTAATACCAGGAATAGAACGTTTCATGAAAATGACAATATCCTACAGCTAATTTCTTTTCGAATTTCTTAGAGCGAGCGAACAACTTTGTTTGTAACAATCGTGCTCCAACACAGGGCTGGCTCTAGTAATAAGCTAACCGAGTACTTGGTCCAAAGTGTCATGTTTTTTAATAGAATCAACAAATGGTTGATTACAGGTTGAAGCTTTGTGTTTCTCATTGTTAAAATCGATCAGAAATGTACACTGTCTTTCCATATAAATAAATAATACAATTGTAAAAGTTTTAATTTTGTACTACCTAATATTCAGATTGCTCTAAAACTGATACGTAGGGCGTCCCATGCCCTCAAGCCGACTCTGGTTTATCATCGCAAAGCAAGTGTAGCTATTGGTTGAAATATTTCGCGACTGTTCGATGTGAACTCCTCATAATGCGTTCACAGATTCGTATAATTGTGATTCACACTGCCAGCACCTGTCACACGAGGCAGTGTTTAATGACTGTAGCTGACTGTAGCTGACTGTAGCTGTATATGAAAAAGACTAACTTGTCAATTTAATGTAGAGGTCTTATCTCGATGGCCCGCTATAGGTGATAACAGATGTCTTTTTATCGTACGTTCAAAAGATTCGTATAGAGATGTTGACATATTTGGTAAGGATCACGTTTCGTTCAAACAGCCGATATTCAATTATCCGTATATCGAAGTATTTGTATCGACTAACTTTTTGACAACTGAAGCTATTTATCTCTTTCTTTGTTGTTGTTCGCTTTATTTATTACGATGATAAATAGGGCGGTGTAATTGTCTGTAGAGATTATTTAGAAATTACCCGTGAATGTTATCTCGAGCATCGTACGATCGTGTGCGTCGAACGGAAGTTATCAACAACGATTTATTTATTTCCCCCTATTACTTTAACTGTTTTCGCTTTTTCTTTTTAATACGCTTAATAGGAGCCGGCCACTTCCGCTCTTTATCTTAGGATTATTAATGATTGTTTCCTGTGTTTCTAACTGTTTATTGGTATTTGTAAAATTTATATTTTATAATTGTAGATTTCGTAATGCTACACGCTAAATACAACGATCCTACTACCACATTATAAAATGGCAACATTTTGGTCAGGAAGACCTGGTTGGTTCGGAAAAGTAGGAATAGCGGTATTAGCTACATGGCTTTTGGTACTAATTATATCGGTATCCCATATCTTTAAGGCTAATAATTTATCGTCTAATAGCGAGAGTCCTACGAACAAAGAAAATGCTCAACGTTTAGCGCAAATGGTTAATGATTTTGAAATTCTTAAAAGACAAAACGAGGCATTAAAAAATATAGTCCTTGGGTAAGTCTAGAAGAAATATTATAAAAGCAGACAGATTTATCTGAAGTTTAAAACAAAGAGCCTGGTGATCTTTTCGTTGTACAGGATAACATAATTTCCAGAGAAAAGTCAAAATCCGTTCAAGGAGATCATTTAGGTTCCATACACGAAAAACTTGACAAGGTTTCACTTTACGACGACTTGTTGGATCGTCAAGATAATACCAAACATGGTGTCCCTTCTGCAGAGTATGAAGAACTACGACGAAGGATAAGGAATAATATACAAGAAACCTGGTAAGTATAATATTTGGAACGTATATTGTCTACATATTTTAAACAATAGGAATATTATATACAGTACTTTAATTTTTGAGATAGGTATTATGTTAGCGCAGAGCTAAATAAGCTTAAGAAAACTTTTGTTAAACTAAGCCACGAACAAAGAGAGAAAAAAATCCAAGATACATTGGAAAATGTTTGGGATTATAAAAAATCTCTTACAATAGACATTGATAGATTGACAAAAGTAGACGGCTATAATGAATGGCGTAAGAAAGAGGCAAAAGATTTGTCTGACCTTGTGCAAAGAAGATTCAGGTAACAAATCTTATGTTACTACTAATTTATTAAAGCTATACGCTAATATTCGCATTTTTCTGAAGGTATCTACAAAATCCTAGTGATTGCAACAAAGCAAGAAAGTTAGTATGCAGTCTAAACAAAGGTTGTGGATTTGGGTGTCAGGTAAATATACGTTTATTTTGTGTAAAGTAACAAATTTGTATGCAAAAATTAGAAATAAAATTTTCATGTATTTTAGATCCATCATATTACATACTGCTTCTTGGTTGCTTATGGCACGGAACGGACATTAATAATCAAATCTAAGGGTTGGAGATATCATAAAGATGGCTGGGAGTCTGTTTTTAAACCGCTCAGCGAAACGTGTTTATCTACGACTGGAGTATCACATGCCAATTGGCCTGGCGATTCTTCTAAGCAAGTAATTTCTTTGCCAATTGTGGATAACGTTTATCCAAAGCCAAGGTATCAACCGCCAAGCGTGCCCGCTGATTTAGTTCCCAGATTAGAGAAACTTCATGGCCATCCGTTAGTGTGGTGGGTGGGTCAAGTTCTGAAATATCTAATGCGACCTCAAGAACACGTGAGAAAAACATTAGACTATGCAAAAGAAAGACTCGGTTTTAAGAAACCTATCGTCGGAATACATGTACGAAGAACGGATAAAGTTGGAACCGAAGCCGCTTATCACGATATAGATGAATATATGGTGAAAGTTGAGCATTATTTTAATGAACTTGAAACTATACCAGAAGTGAAAAGAGTTTTTTTGGCCAGTGACGATCCAAAAGTAATTACAACAGCAAGGGATCGTTATCCAAATTACGAAATAATAGGGGACCCAGAAATAGCTGAAACTGCATCGGTAGCAAAAAGATACTCAGACTCTTCCTTGCAAGGAATAATTATAGACATACATCTCTTATCTGAATGTGATTACCTGGTATGCACATTTAGTTCCCAAGTGTGCCGTGTAGCATACGAATTAATGCAAACGTATTATCCAGATGCTTATAATAGATTTGCATCACTGGACGATATTTATTATTACGGAGGTCAAAATCCGCATCCTCATCAGGCTATTTTAGATCACAAACCAAGGAAAAGTGGTGAAATAGAACTAAAGGTAGGAGATTCGATCGAAGTATTTGGAAATCATTGGGATGGTTACTCTAAAGGATATAATACTAGAACCAGTATGACGGGTTTGTTTCCTAGTTTTAAAGTAAAAAACCCCGTGGATGCTGTAGACTTTCCAAAATATCCAAACGTTCCATTACATGAAAACAAAAACGAGTAGATACACTTTAAATATGTAGTGATCTTGAAAATATTCAGATTGCTTGCAAAATAATGTAACTTGCCTTCGTATTTAAATTGTTAAAAGCAGTGAAAGAAATCATGAATATGTATATATTTTATTACTAGCAAACGACTGGTTTAATTTCCACAAACTGAAACTATCACGAGTTGTGAGAGAAAGAACCAAGTTATGCTGTTTCTTGAGCGAATATACGTACGTTGAATTTTAAGAAGACCATACATAGATACGTTCGCAAACTAAAATTATAAAAAAAAAAACTTTTAATATGTTTACGATCTTCTTACAAATTTGACTATAAATGAACATTTATAAATTTCAAAATTAAAGATTTATAATGATATAGTTTAATATTTTTTATATATTTTGATCGAAGTTAAAAAATTGTAATCGTTGTTTTAATGAGAAATTTTATTATAACGTGACTATGTCGAAGTATTAAGCTGCGAGTTTTACTCTTGTTTTATCTTATGCATTTAAAAAAATATGATACAAATTAATTACTTTAATTAATACGCAATATAAAGACAAAGGTTATGTGTGCCAATGTATTTCATTATTAAAGCATTATGTACAATAGCAAGCTAATGTTTTCAAAATAAGAAATCTCGTCATACCGTCAATTTTTGTAAATTAAAATTAGGAACTTCACATCACTAGTTAATCTCACATCTCCTGATAAGGATCTGTTACAATATATTGTCATAACGTACAATTTGTACATAAGATATGCAATATGAAATCGATGTACATGACAATTTTTTGACGATACTAGAGCTTATACAATGCGCATAAGAAGTAATGCATAAATTACATATGACAAGCATAAAATGCATAGACATCGAGCTGGGCTTGAGGCCTATCTTATACATTTAAGGATGTTTCCTGTATACATATTGTAATATATTTTATACTATACACCAATGCAAATGAGAATTGTTACTATATTATAAAATCTGAACTTGGTTTTAAATAAATATTTAATTCACGAAATCGATCGTTTTTTACTTACCATAATAATAAATAATTACAGAATTACTAACCGAAGGTTACTGGGTCAAAGTACTAATGATTGAATTATAAATATATAATGATGTTTAATAAAACAGAAGAAAAAAAGAATAAAGTGAAGTAAGCGTCGGATAATAAATACAGGAGTAGGATTTGAAATGAATCGAATATAAATTGTAATTTGACTAATTAACAAATAAATTTGCTTATTAAGTTTCATATTTACGACTATAATCATACTGAAATTGATAAAAAATTTACAATGATGATTCACACATAAATTTGATACGTTTATAAAATGTACAATCTTGAAATTCGATCGTTTGACTAACTGCTGGGTTAGAGTTATCACTATATTTTGTTAATTGCGTTTAATGAGTTTGATATGGGTGAATTTACGATTACATGAACGATTTCGAAAAAAATGGCACACATTTTTCGCATGTACAAATCCGAAATGTCTATAATAGTTCGTAATTATGGAAATTATAAAGTGTCGCAAAGGTTAGAATCATAAAAAGTTTATATAACATATTTTACTTTACTTTTATTTTGTTTAAATCCATTATGTGTTTTAAAGATCACAACGCAATCATTACGAAGTTTTACGCATCTCTGAGAACGCAACACAAAAACAAATAAGAGCTGCTTACATTAAATTATCAAAAGAAGTGAGTCTTTCCAATCAGTAGCTTTGGCATTTCAAAATACTATTTATTTAGAAAGATATCACCAGAGATCTCCAGCAACATATGTTTATTATTTTTTCCAGATAATACAAGTCATAAGGCCTTTAAATGTTTACCCAATGAAATTTTTTACTTACATTATTTTCTACTTAGATGCATCCTGATGTTGGGAATAAAGAAAGTCACAATGATTTTGTGAAGATTAACGAAGCTTATTCAACTTTGAGTAAAACGGAAGATAGAATGCAGTATGATATGAATTTAAGATACAACAATACATCTCACAACCAAAATTCTTCTAATAGATACAATTATTATCATAATATGGGTGTTGAATTTAAACCGTATGTTATACATATGTATATTTGTTTCGAGACACTTATTATTAAGGTAAAATTTCTCTGACCACGCATAAAATTTATTTACAGTGGAGACACCCCTTGGGAAACAAGAAGAGCTAATAGTACACCCATGTCTAGAAAAGCTATAAAAAATATAATAATCTTTTTTGTAATTAACATGCTTCTTGCAGTCACTTTACAGATGTTAATTGCAGTATCTGCAAGAGAGGATATAAGAAGAAGGAGCAAATTATATGAGATTGAATATCAACAAATGAAAGAAAATGCTAAAAAGAAAACATTGTTAGAACAAATGGATTATTTATACGAGTTACAGAGGCACTATAACTTCGATGTCAATGATGAATAATGTCATGTAATATATAGTCTATTCCAGTTAATTGAGACACACAGAGATCTGAACAATTTTAGTTTCGTTTTTTAAGATTTGTTCCAAATAAACAGCAAGCTTGATCAACCAATGTCTCGAATAACCAGAATAGACTAAATTAGTAAATCAGTAGTTATTTTGTGTAAATTTTTTGCATAACATGCATTGACTTCTAAAGATGTATTATATAGATTGTATATTTCATAATTTATTTTGATTGTTATACGTAATGGATATATATTTTTTGTAATGTGTAAATATTTTCTTTGTTGTATAATACAAAACATACATTTTTTTGAATAAAATAAAGTATATTTTACATTATAGTCACCAAGAATTAATCATTTATTTCAGATATAGTGTACACAAAATTCGAAGTAAGATTTAATTGGAATTCGATTTATTTTGAGTAGGATAGGACGAGTTTGTAATAAAGTTTATTAGGAAAAAGTAGATTGCCTCGTGTTACATAAACTTTGTAATGTTTAAACATTATCAGGAATTATGATATATATCTATGCTAATTTACAAAAACATAAATTACTATATCTAAAATTTTAAACTATGTAAGTCATGAAAATATTACGAATTATTTGAATTCAATCAAATTCCCTACGATACAGTAGTAATACAAAATCTGTATTTTAAAAATGTCCAACAATGCAAAGAATTGTAACTGGATAATATTTCATTCGCACAAGTGGCGTAACTAAATAATGAGAATATAACATTTAAAGGGTAAGGTTAGTTTTCCTCTAAAAAAAAACTCCCGCTAAAATTACGAACACGCGAAGCCCCAGAATCGCTGGTCGCGCCACTGATTTATAATGTTGGTAACGCAGCATCCATTTTAAAAATTCGATTCATACACAATACGACCAAGTGATTATCGCGACGGCATGTTGATTCGTATAAAAGTAATAAATAAATTAAACGTTTAAGAAAAAGTGTAGGAAGTGAGCAACACGTTAAAATAGCCGTCGAGAAAAGATTAAACGAAAGTGAACGGACAAAGAACAGTTGTACGAAACGTTGGAGTGCGTTTGTCGAAGTTGTCTTCGATTGCTAAACAGGTACTCGATTTCGGTTTCGGTGAAATAGTTGATGTTCTCGTTGTCGTTCACAATTTCTTAACGTACGAAACAACCGATGTGTGCGGAAGTGCCGGTGAAAATACAGGTTTTCCGTCTTCGTCGACGTAATCCGAGTAGGGGAGTTCGTATGTTGGTTCAAAGCCCAATCCCGCGCAAAGTTTTCCAGAGAAGAAGGATGAACAGTCGGCACGTACAAAATGAAAGTCTTTCTCCCGCCCAATTTCGCTGAAAAGTGAACATATTTGTAAGTTAACATTCCTACAACGTTCTTTTTCGGTATAATATTGTATCGTGAACATTTTTGGAATATTCTAGCGATATTACAAAGCAAATTTATAGGTTATAGCCATTGTGATTGTTCGTAAGTAGGTGGCGTGATATGTAGAGGGGCGCTTTACAAAGATGGGCTGTTTTTCTATTAGATTTAAACATTTCGATGCTCGATCGAACAAGCATCACCAATAAATTGCTACACGTTGATTTTATTCGATAGTCTCTCTTACATCGCTTTTTCTATGAGAGCCTTGCCAATCCCTTTGCCCCTCCAGCTTGAATCTACGGAGATAATTCTGATTTCCAGGACGTTCATCCCTCTGTATCGTTCGTCGCGGTTTACGTTCTGGTCCACGTAACGTAGTAGCCTGAGAATCTTTTTGAACTTTGGATTTTCGCAATTGGTTATGTACTCTGGTTCTTCTTTGCTCGGTGGTTCCGCTTTTCCTGCAGAACGATTAAGCATAATTAGGGAGAGGGTACCATATTATTTAATCTTAATGTTATCTGCAGTTTGAAATATTTAACGTATGTCGGTATATCATCGTCTAATTTTTGTAACAGCGACAAGATTATCATCTTTGACCTGTAACCTAGGAGACTATACGATCTTAATACGATTACGCGTTAGTTCAGCATATCGTGAGTGGTGCGCTACAAGCGACTAATAAGAAACATTGTTAGAAGTCATGAGTTCTTATAGCATGTACCGATTTACATAAATTACAGTGAATGGCAATGAGTATCTATATTCTATTCTAAAGGTCTCTGATTACCATGAAGCATAAAGTTTCTCTATATGTACATGCTGGACACGAATAACGAATTCAGATCAATATCATCTCTACTAGTAAACCAATGACTCGCGCCATTTTCTGCCAAATTTCTCGATCTCTATCGTCGATATAATTTTACTTTTATTTTTCTTTTTTTCATTCGATGATATTTTTATTATTCTTTCCCTCGCAAAATTCCAAGTGAAAGGTTAAGGAGAGTCGTTCGAATAATTAAAACGGACAACCAAGGTGTGCTATTAATGGCAATTACCTGTTCAATTACTCTAACCTGAGCACATCATTGTAAGGAAATTAGTCATTAGTCTCGGGAGCTGACGTCGAACGCAACTCCTTAACATCCGTGTTGCATTCGAAATGATAGTTCGCGAACGTTTTGCACCTGACGCGATACTGTCCAGCGTGTAATTATTAATGATATAAAATTAAAAATCTGTATGTTTGTGATATTTTTATAATTCCTCCTATTTTCCCCCAATATAGATGGAATTTCGTTTAGTTGTCCCTTATGCCCCAACGAAGTATACATATAGGCTGTCGAATTTAATCGAATAAAAATTTCCGCAAATAATTGTTCGTTCGCGAAGAACACCCGATGCAATGGATTTTTATCGTCGCGTATTTTTATGTACATCAAGTTGACTTTTTAATCTCAATAACACACGACTAACTGGATCTGTCGAGAGATTAATGTAATTACCGGAGTTGCGACAACCGGTAGCGATTAATGAGCCTCACTCTTGCTCGGTACTCGCATAAGTAATTTATGTAACGATTGAACGGTACCGTTTCGTAGTAGGTGTGCCCACCCCCACCGCTTTCGCACCTATTTTTCCATCAGATTTTTGCGACCTGCTGTGACGACAGCTGTTTGCGTGTGTTTCGATGGGGGGGAAAAAAACTGTTAACCGATTTACAAGGCCTTCCCATCGCGATTACTCGTTATCACCGCCTCTGATCTATTTAGAATCAAACAGCACCGGCCTCCAAGAGCATCGCGTGCGACTACAGTGGTGTTCAAAAGTGTCATAATGAATTTAGTAATTTGATTATCCCCCTTCCCAAAAGAGGACAACGATAAACAAAGTTACTTTCATTTTTCGTACGTTTTGAAATATTCTTATTCAAATACAATCAAGACAAATTTTCCACTTTTCCTTGTGATGCAAACGACCTCAATTTCATCCAATCGCTGCGTAACTGCCACGATTTGTTAACAAAACATTCCTTGTCGCACTTCAAAGAAAACTCAAACAGTTCGGCCGACAACGAGCCTAATGGATTCGAACATGACCGGATTTAGCAGACCGCTGCTTCGGTTTCCGTGAATTGAAACTGATATTCAAATGGTAACGAAAATTCGTCGCGACAAGCGATTCGTCATCGTTTCGTGCTCGTCG